AGATACACATTTATAAATACCATTCAAATAAAGAATATATTCATATAAAAAAATATACATAGATACAAGTTTGAACAGAAAAGGTCTTTTGTACAAAAAGGTTCTCAGTTTGTGAAAAAAATGTAATAATATTTCTTTCTAAACCTAAACAATTTTTTGATACAGAAAGCAACTATACAAAACAGAACTTTTGTTAAGTTTTGTTTTAAAAACTGTGTAGGTACTGTATACTAAAGAATTCTGCACACTTTTATCTGAAATTGAAATGATAGCTCGGGAAAGATCACAATTGATGGATAAGACAAATATAAAACTCATTTTAAATAAAAAAAGTTAAAATAAATTACATTCAAAGTTGATTTGTCCAAAACAAAGAGTTAAATTAGACACAAACAATATTTTGAAAATGTTTGAATTGTATTGCATTATATTATGAAGCAGCAATTATTTATTTACTAATTAAATAGTATAGTGTTTACACATACTAAATTACCTTCTGTACAGTATGTCAGAGAATTTTGGGCAATCACGACCATACATCATTATCATCACATTTAGTAATACAGATTACAAATCAAAGTCTTCACAGCTAATGGAAGTAAGACAAAGTGACAGTCCTCACTGCTGGTGCAAGTCAGTCAAAATGACAGTCCTCACTGCTGGTGCATGTCAGTCAAAGTGACAGTCCTCACTGCTGGTGCAAGTCAGTCAAAGTGACAGTCCTCACTGCTGGTGCATGTCAGTCAAAGTGACAGTCCTCACCGCTGGTGCATGTCAGTCAAAGTGACAGTCCTCAATGCTGGTGCATGTCAGTCAAAGTGACAGTCCTCACTGCTGGTGTATGTCAGTCAAAGTGACAGTCCTCACTGCTGGTGTATGTCAGTCAAAGTGACAGTCCTCACTGCTGGTGTATGTCAGTCAAAGTGACAGTTCTCACTGCTGGTGCAAGTCAGTCAAAGTGACAGTCCTCACTGCTGGTGTATGTCAGTCAAAGTGACAGTCCTCACTGTTAAGCCATTCAAAGTGACAGTCCTCACTGCTAGTGCAAGTCAGTCAAAGTGACAGTCCTCACTGCTAGTGCAAGTCAGTCAAAGTGACAGTCTTCACTGCTGGTGAATGTCAGTCAAAGTGACAGTCCTCAATGCTGGTGCAAGTCAGTCAAAGTGACAGTCCTCACTGCTGGTGTATGTCAGTCAAAGTGACAGTCCTCACTGTTAAGCCATTCAAAGTGACAGTCCTCACTGCTAGTGCAAGTCAGTCAAAGTGACAGTCCTCACTGCTAGTGCAAGTCAGTCAAAGTGACAGTCCTCACTGCTAGTGCAAGTCAGTCAAAGTGACAGTCCTCACTGCTAGTGCAAGTCAGTCAAAGTGACAGTCCTCACCGCTGGTGCATGTCAGTCAAAGTGACAGTCCTCACCGCTGGTGCATGTCAGTCATAGTGACAGTCCTCACTGCTGGTGCAAGTCTGTCATAGTGACAGTCCTCACTGCTGGTGAAAGTCAGTCAAAGTGACAGTCCTCACTGCTGGTGTATGTCAGTCAAAGTGACAGTCCTCACCGCTGGTGCAAGTCAGTCATAGTGACAGTCCTCACTGCTGGTGCAAGTCTGTCATAGTGACAGTCCTCACTGCTGGTGCAAGTCAGTCATAGTGACAGTCCTCACTGCTGGTGCAAGTCTGTCATAGTGACAGTCCTCACTGCTGGTGCAAGTCTGTCATAGTGACAGTCCTCACTGCTGGTGTAAGTCAGTCATAGTGACAGTCCTCACTGCTGGTGCAAGTCTGTCATAGTGACAGTCCTCACTGCTGGTGCAAGTCAGTCAAAGTGACAGTCCTCACTGCTGGTGTATGTCAGTCAAAGTGACAGTCCTCACTGCTGGTGTATGTCAGTCAAAGTGACAGTCCTCACTGCTGGTGTATGTCAGTCAAAGTGACAGTCCTCACTGCTGGTGCATGTCAGTCAAAGTGACAGTCCTCACTGCTGGTGTATGTCAGTCAAAGTGACAGTCCTCACTGCTGGTGTATGTCAGTCAAAGTGACAGTCCTCACTGCTGGTGCAAGTCAGTCAAAGTGACAGTCCTCACTGCTGGTGTATGTCAGTCAAAGTGACAGTCCTCAATGCTAGTGCAAGTCAGTCAAAGTGACAGTTCTCACCGCTGGTGTATGTCAGTCAAAGTGACAGTCCTCACTCCTGGTGCAAGTCAGTCAAAGTGACAGTCCTCACTGCTGGTGTATGTCAGTCAAAGTGACAGTCCTCACTGTTAAGCCATTCAAAGTGACAGTCCTCACTGCTAGTGCAAGTCAGTCAAAGTGACAGTCTTCACTGCTGGTGAATGTCAGTCAAAGTGACAGTCCTCACTGCTGGTGCAAGTCAGTCAAAGTGACAGTCCTCACTCCTGGTGCAAGTCAGTCAAAGTGACAGTCCTCACTGCTGGTGCATGTCAGTCAAAGTGACAGTCCTCACTGCTGGTGTATGTCAGTCAAAGTGACAGTCCTCACTGCTGGTGCAAAGTCATTCAAAGTGACAGTTCTCACTGCTGGTGCATGTCAGTCAAAGTGACAGTCCTCACTGCTGGTGCATGTCAGTCAAAGTGACAGTCCTCACTGCTGTGGCATGTCAGTCAAAATGACAGTCCTCACTGCTGGTGCAAGTCGGTCAAAGTGACAGTCCTCACTGCTGGTGCATGTCAGTCAAAGTGACAGTCCTCACTGCTGGTGCATGCAAGTCAAAGTGACAGTCCTCACTGCTGGTGCATGTCAGTCAAAGTGACAGTCCTCACTGCTGGTGCATGTCAGTCAAAGTGACAGTCCTCACTGCTGGTGCATGCAAGTCAAAGTGACAGTCCTCACTGCTGGTGCATGTCAGTCAAAGTGACAGTCCTCACTGCTGGTGCATGTCAGTCAAAGTGACAGTCCTCACTGCTAGTGGAAGTCAGTCAAAGTGACAGTCCTCACTGCTGGTGCATGTCAGTCAAAGTCAGGGCCGGAACAAGGGGGGGGCAGAGGGGGCGGTTGCCCCGGGCGGCAGGGTTGAGGGGCGGCAAATTTCTGGTTGCAGAAAATTTGTTTAATACTGTTTGTAAAAGTTTTTAATGAGCCGAACGTCATAAGGAACGTCAATTAAGTAATTTCAAAACTGCATATCGTAATAAACAAACAATAATTTTACAATAGAAATCAATATAAATTGCAACGGAGTAGAAAACACTGAGAGCCCTAATAGCATAGTTAGCAGCACAGCAAAGTTTGTTTACAATTTCAGCTGATCGCCATCCCTGTCAAGGCGCCATGCCGCCCTGCCGTGGTTCGTTATATAGAGGTTAGGTTTCCAGGAATTTCGCTAAGTCGAGGTTCCAGAACCAGCGTCGATCAATATAGGTCGGGACTTGACCTCATTAAAATACAGTACAATTAAAGTAGCATGGGCTACAATTCTTTACAGTACAGTGTTTACATTGTACAGTAGAACCTAAATTATCCGGCATAATAAAGGGGAGGGATCTTGAATATTGCGCAATCATGACAATGGCCACAACCAATCACAGCTTGTTCTAACCCTCCTAAAACCTAGCCAAACACTGTATTGCGTAGTCATAAATTATGTAAAGAACAAAACAAAACAGTAGAAAGTGTTGTAAGCTACTGCTCGCGATAGGCCGGTAGCACAGACAATATAATACTTTATTGTCTGTGCCGGTAGGCTACTTACAGTACAGTACTGATTTATCACAACAGAGGAATGTCAATAATAATCATTAACTATAGCATTGGTGTTGCTAATGCTAGTTGAAACAAATCGTATTGAAAACAATAAATTATTAGATAAGTCATTATAAAAGAGTATAATCATAGCCAACTTAAGGATAGTAAAAATACTCGTAAAAGGAATGTTAAAATAGCGATGTTGTTATTCTTTCTCTTTGGTTTTGTTTTTATATTCTTTCTTAGGTTTTTCTTTATCAAAAAAATTGTACAATTCACCATAGTTATCCCATATCGCCCAATCACAGCTTACTAAACATTACGTCGTCATCAGTCCTCAGTGAATGAAATCAGTTCTCAGTTGCAACATAGCGCGCGCAGAGACAGCAGACAAAGATGTAAATTGTAAAACGGAGCAGAAGAATGTTAGCGCAAGCGATGAGGTGACCTTTCCATTTCATTTGATAAAGAAACAGATTTTCCCAAAACAATAATTGGGTGGGGGATTTGTTATATCGAGGGAAAGACGTAGACAATTCGTTATGCAGAGGTTAAATTCGCAATGTAGAGGTTCTGACAATGATAAATTTGTTATACTTATTGAGGTGTCTTATTTTAGCCGAAATCACGAAAAATTCGTTAAATCAAGGTCGTTATTATAGTTTGTTCGTTATGTAGAGGTAAAATATACATTGTGTCTTATGGAGAGTTCTAGGGGATTAAAAAAAATTCGTTATATCAAGGAATTCGTTATATCTACCTATTCCACTTTACCTATTCCATTTTTGTTTAATTTGTGAGGGATTTTTTGTTGTGGGTGAAGGGGGGGAGGGGCGGCAAATTTTAGTTTGCCCCCACTCAAAAATTGTCTAGATCCGGCCCTGGTCAAAGTGACAGTCCTCACTGCTAGTGGAAGTCAGTCAAAGTGACAGTCCTCACTGCTGGTGCATGCAAGTCAAAGTGACAGTCCTCACTGCTGGTGCATGTCAGTCAAAGTGACAGTCCTCACTGCTGGTGCAAGTCAGTCAAAGTGACAGTCCTCACTGCTGGTGCATGTCAGTCAAAGTGACAGTCCTCACTGCTGGTGCATGTCAGTCAAAGTGACAGTCCTCACTGCTAGTGGAAGTCAGTCAAAGTGACAGTCCTCACTGCTGGTGCATGTCAGTCAAAGTGACAGTCCTCACTGCTAGTGGAAGTCAGTCAAAGTGACAGTCCTCACTGCTGGTGCATGCAAGTCAAAGTGACAGTCCTCACTGCTGGTGCATGTCAGTCAAAGTGACAGTCCTCACTGCTGTGGCATGTCAGTCAAAATGACAGTCCTCACTGCTGGTGCATGTCAGTCAAAGTGACAGTCCTCACTGCTGGTGCATGTCAGTCAAAGTGACAGTCCTCACTGCTAGTGGAAGTCAGTCAAAGTGACAGTCCTCACTGCTGGTGCATGCAAGTCAAAGTGACAGTCCTCACTGCTGGTGCATGTCAGTCAAAGTGGCAGTCCTCACTGCTGGTGCAAGTCAGTCAAAGTGACAGTCCTCACTGCTGGTGCATGTCAGTCAAAGTGACAGTCCTCACCGCTGGTGCATGTCAGTCAAAGTGACAGTCCTCACTGCTGGTGCATGTCAGTCAAAGTGACAGTCCTCACTGCTGGTGCATGTCAGTCAAAGTGACAGTCTTCACTGCTAGTGCAAGTCAGTCAATGTGATGCACTAGTGAAAGTCTCCAAAGGCTACTGTGACTTTGTTAATACCAACTCAATACACAGACCCATTATAACCATTATAACATTTTTTGTAACATATTATCGTGTTTTATGTTCTCGTATGTGAAAGAGTACAAAAACAATAATTGTAGCAATACAGACACATTATAATATTAACAGTCAAAAGGTTTCACTAAGATGTCAACAAGTTTGGTAAAGAATCAAATTTGTAACAGATGTTACCATAGGGACTGACAAATACAGAGGATACAAAATGAAGCTGCTTTTAAAACTGCATACACTTTTACATAGACAAAATTAAGTTTTTAATTCATTATCATATCTGTAGTAGATTTAATTAATGTTCTAGAAGTCGTTGAGATGACTTGCGAGCATCACATATAAACTAATTTACAAAAGTACAAACAATGTGTTTTAGCATTGATTGAACACTCATACAAAAAATTTTTTTAACGGAATTGATAGAAAAACCATCAATAGATTTAAAAATTTTTTACGATAATAAATCTAAAGCTTTTAAACTAACAAGTTCAACTTCTGTTTCAAATGGTTTCAACATTTAACCAATTTGAGTGAGAATTTTGTTTACTAAGATGACATATCTAATACGATACAGCTTATCTAATTTTAAGGGTTTGCAGCAAAGATCAGTTTGTCAAGTCTTATCCAATTAGTCAAATTTTATTCATCTAGTCTCACTTTTTTCAGTCCTCGCTCCAACCTCTGGTTGTGACTGTAGGGCGACTATATTGTTTCCAGTCGCCCCATCCGCCTCAAGCCTGCCACAACAGCAGGTGGTTGGTCGAGTCCTCTCGCCCTGCGACTTCCGAGACGCTGGCTGACCGGAAGTCCTCGTATCCGTCTCCTCCGGAGATGACCAAGGGACGACCTTCTCTCTCCCTGTCGCCTCTCTCGACCACCGTGAGGAATCTTACTTGTCCTGTGTGGCCGTGGGGTACACCTGCAAGTTATAAATATTCTTGTTGGTTTTAACTTTAAAGTACTGGGTAATAATTGTTAAGTCTGTGATAACAAGGAGTCTATCAGTTTTCAAATCTTCTATTATACAACGACAATGATCAAGTAACGACGATCATAGTCGATAGACGATCAAGTAATGTAAGATCATAAGCTATATTTGTGTGGTATGACTTAACTCTGTAGTAGGTGCTTTGAGACAACTCATTAACACCGCCTTACACTGTAGTAGGAAGATCCACCTGGTTTTGGATGCTTGCTCTTGACTGTACTTGTGTGTATATCCTTTGGCCCAAATAAAGATTCAAAAATACCTCCCAATCATCTATCTAGATGTTCTTCACTGACAAAACCTTGGTTACTGTGATTTATTGTAAAAATATGGTCTGACCTTTCCAGACTTTGTGAGGAAAGAACTTTTTGCTATTCTCAATCCATTCAATGACACAAAAATCGTTAAATGTGTTTAAACTGCAAACAATTAACAGAGTGACAATTATTTTATTGAATAGTTAACCTACAAATAAAATACAGACTATGAAGTATCATACTACTAGTCCAATTGCCAGTACGAAGTAACCACCACCAGAAAAGTAGCTTGTGCGACTCACATTTGCACCGACCTGACACTGGCGGCAACTTGGCGGCCGTGGTGGCGGGAGATACATGAGGCAGTGGCATTGTCAATATCACACCGGCGCTGGTGCCAACCCACAACAAGTCCTGACACGCCAGCAGCGACGTCACGCGTAGACAAGCTGCCTTGTGTTGCCTTATGATGTCATCACAGCCTGTAAATAATGAATACTTTAAATTTGATAGGGTTCAGTGTTCGTTTACTAATTTTGTTACTGAAGGCTGTAATACTGACTGAAAATTTGAAGGAAAATTGTTAGAGTTTATTTGTAATTTGGTAAGATATCAGTTATCCAGAGTGGTCGTCCATTTTTTGTTTTAAATTTAAACTCACTTTATGCAAAAACTTCCTCAATCTAAATTATTTACTCAGTCCTATATATATATATTTTTTTGTTGTCCTAGTATGCTAGGCTCTAGCCCGGTATTATTTTTCACATTACTTCAAACTAGACCTAGGGGTTGTGGCATTATCACAAAATAATATGCATTGGTAATTTTGCATGATTTGAACACTTCCCTCCTGCCTGCCTGATTTGAGTCCTCAAAGACTGAAGTCCCTTGCTCTACCGCTAGACCAGCTCACTCCCCCACCTCTCTGGGGCCTAATACTACTATGCATTATCAAAGTCAAAATATTTAAATATAATTAAGAACTATGGATTTTTTTACTGGGGGTTGTATCCCTTACGTCAACTTTCTTCTATATTGCTTACTCCATATATAGTGTAGTGGCCTGAGAGAGGTGGGGGAGGTAGCTGGTCTAAAGGTAGAGCAAGGGACTCCACACTAAAGATTAAAATAAAACATTTTTAGGGATAAGAGTGCTAAAGTGCAGGCAGGAAGAATTTTAAGCATATTACCCATAATTAGTCAAGAATAATTAATAAAGAGAAGTGGTAAAGATTAAGAATTTTTCATTTGATTTGATAACTGACTTGCAAGCATCTTGGTGACAGCAGGAGCGATGTTGACTTCACCCAAGCAGTCAAACGAGGTGGCATGGAACACCCTCAGTACTGCGGAGTGCTGCAGTGACAGCCACACAGCCAGTCCTGACACTGCCATGCAGCTGATACTGCGGTGAGTCTCCCCACTGGCACTGAACTGATGCTACAATGGACGGCATAGAAAGTAAATACAAACACAATAATCTTGGGGATCTATTCATTGAAATAGTAGATACCAAGGTAACTTCATTTGCACAACGTAACTGTTATTGGAAAATTTAGCCCCCATGCATTGGGAACATACACTTGACTTTATACTTTATTATGGAACCCCACTCTTGACCTGCTGATCCTTCCATGAGCTAAACAAAAGCAATATTGAGCGGCCAGAATGGGTACGCAAATTACAATAGCCAAAAGAGTCGCATGTCAAAGACACAATGAATGGTAGCAAAGTAGGTGGTACAGTGGGAGTGGGACAATGAAGATAAAGGACGATGGACTCGTCGTTTGATACCCAATATAAGGTTTTGGCTAGAGAGAAAGCTTGGAAGTATGCATTTTTGCCTCACCCAGGCTTTTACCATGGGGCTTTCCGGATGTACCTAATAGGCTGCAAAAGCTAGAAGATAGAAACTGCACTAACTGTGCCTATATATGATGCCAAACTTTTGGTGCAAAACATTTATGACAGAGTAGCAGCAACTTGATCTTAAGCAAGAAATCAGAAAGGAAAGCTATTGTATTTGAGAACAAGATTTTGAGGAAAGTGTACGGACCGATTTTTGAGGATGGACAATGGAGATCGAGACATAATTGGGAACTAAGAGAATTATTTAAGGATCCAGATATTGTCGCAGAGATACGGAGCAGAAGACTGAGATGGGCAGGGCATATTCTGAGAAAAGATGACAACTCCCTATCAAAGAACATCTTGAGGAATAACCCAGAAGGTAGAAGACCCCTTGGAAGACCGAAACTTAGATGGTTCGACCAAGTGGAGAAAGACCTGAGGAAGCTAGGGAGAAGGAAGGAAGATGCAAGAAGCAGAGACCTATGGAGGCAGTGTGTTGGGGAGGCCAAGTACCATCTAGGGTACCAGTGGCCACAGCAGTAAGTAAAGCGGCCCACACACTGGGGCGCTTATGCGCGCACATGTGACGCGCGAACAGCTCTACGCACATGCGCCTCAATGTGTGGGTAAATGTGCCCATGCTCGCGACGCGCATGCAAGGTGCCTGGTGCCTGCCGCCGGACCTTCGAGCATCGTCACAAGAGCGCGAGCTTGTTATGATGTGCGCCAGTCTGTGGGAAATCGAGGCACATGTTCGCAAGCTAGCAGTACTAACCATAGCTGCATATACTGTAAATCGGGAAATACAAGGTCTGCGCCTGCGTGGCACAGTGTAACATTAACTGCCCCACGTGTTGTATTTGATTTGTCCTTGTTTTTAGGTTATGAACTTCTTTGTTGTGCGGTTAAGATGTCCTGTAATGACATAAGAAAGTTTTGGTCTGAGTTTATAGAGCTTTATAGATCACAAACGTGTTATTAGGACGTGAAAAATGTAAACTTTTCAAACAAATAAATGAGAAAAGAAATTAAGGAGTTATTAATAACAAAATGCAAGGGGGTGTTTCCTGAAAGTGGCGATACGTTTGTGGAGACTGAAATCAACTCTTTGAGAGCTTCATATAGATGTGAACCAATTAATTAGAACTAATTAAACTAATTAAATCTAAGTCTATAACCCTAATAGGTACTCTAAATACGACCCTTATACCCTTATATTAAATAATACAACCCTCATATTCTTTCATACCTTATTTCTCACTTTTTTAGGCCCACAAGTTTATTGTAAACACAAAAACCATAATACAGTACATACAACTAATAACTCCCCCAATCAATTGAAGTACAATCACGTCTAATGTATTTTTTGAAGGCAAATTTGATTCTTTAGTGACTTTGCTTGCAACTTAAAAAAAAATTCCTTGTTAAAAAAAATCCAAAATGAAAAACAAATAGTAGGTAAAAATTACATGGGGGCGATACAAAGGGGTTTATTAGAATGATTTCCATATATAACATATAATATATGTTGAATTTGCTGTTATAGCCCACTATTTGAATCGTCAAAGACGGTGGTGCGCGCGCATGTGTCTTTAGTGTGTGGTTACCAATTGGATCGCACATGTGCCTCGAGCCGCTCGCAGTCACCTCACCACGAGCCCCGCAAGGCACATGCGCGCTAGTGTGTGGGCCGCTTAAGTAAGCAGCAACTTGAAATAGAATAAGCTGAGCATTAAAGCTGAAAATCTTGTAAGAGTCATGAGGGGAAGCGAGGTCACTTTTGTGTGTTTCATACGTTTTCTACGCAAATGGATTTTTTTAGTTTTAAAAGCGGACAGTTGGGACATGATAGGAAGCCAGATCCGCAACAACATGGAAGGTCAAATGGAGAAATGTTGAGACAAAGCCTATCTAGCCATGAAGTCATACTAAAAGGAGATCCTATGTCAGAGAAAGGGCGAGAAAAAGAGGGATTGTTTTCAGTGGTCTCCAGGAGGGGGGTTGAAAGGCATCCACATACAAACTTTTAGGTGCAGATCCCCCAATGCATCTGGTTGCAGACTTTTTCTCCTCTCAAAGGAGGTAGTGTGATTGAAAGCCAAAGTTGAAGCTTTATAGACGAAAATATTTTTTAAATTGTATAATCGTAACATGTTTACAATGGTTTTTAGTTTTTAAAATGTTTTGTGTCATCCAACCTCACCGGAAACTGTCAGCCCCCACTCTGCTTTTTCCAAAGTACCTACATATAAGTAAGCGTCCTGTATTTTTCTGTGACAATGGTGACAGTTACCGCCCTAGAAAACCAGACTATACCACTCTCCATCTGGCCAAGTGATAAAGTTATGTCACTACTTTTTCACCGTAGTGCCATCTGTAAATTATAACGTGCATAGGCCTAAAACTGGATAGACAAGATGATGAGATTTAGTCAGCATCGCATTACCTCAATGCTGAGACTGGAGATGTTGAGGATCTTTATCTCATTATTACAGCTGCACCACAGCTTGTTAGAAATTGGCACCATCCTGGAGACCGGACTAGACACAGTCCCTACAGTCACTGTCTCTGGCTGGGACGTGTTCCATTTGCCACCTGCAATAAACAATAAAATTGGAGGACTAGAATTTATACAATAGAATAGAACACGATTTATACATAAAAGTCAATTTTTTTTCTTAAAGTTTTTCTAATAGTATGACCATAGGGAAAACTAGGTAAAATAGTAGTGAATAAAGTAAGGAACACAATATTGGTCTCAGAAAAGAACTGGCCTGGTTGCAACGGGAGCTTAACGGAGACCTTAATTTACAGACAGAGCCCTTGAATATTCCAATGTCTATAACAAACACACAATATAAAAATGTTAAGATTTTGAAATAATTTTAATTTTACAGGAAATACAAGTAGGTATTTCTTATTTAAACTCCAGTACCACTCATTCCTACAATGAAATATTCAGTTAAAAACAACAACAATTTATTTAGTTTTGAATTTAACAACATTAAACTCACTGTTTTCCCTGGAGTAGATAGAAATGTCTCCGTTTGCCAAAGCCACAAACACCCTGTTGTCCAGATATCTAAAACAACACAAAACTTTGCATTAAAATAGGCCAAGTTCTACATTCATTAGAGTAAATTCCCACTAATTCGGCGCCCTATATTGTGTCTGAGCTTTTATTTTTGGCCCCTTTTCCCGATCAACTGGCATTTAAGTCAGTCACCCGACTGCTTATAGTGACTGGCTAAATTTAAATTTAACTTACATATCATTGTATACATGAGGGGGCGAGCTGGTCTAATGGTAGAGCACGGGACTTAGGTCCTTGAGGTCCCAGGTTTAAATCCCGCCAAATCATCAGTGGATTTTAAGTTATAATGCCGCAACCCCTAGGTCTAGCCTGAAGTAATGTGAATAACAATCCCGGACTCGGGCCTAACGTCCTAACTAGGACAAAAAATGTCATTGTATATAAACTATTTGATAACACTAACAAATAAAATTGTTGAGATGTTTTTTTTTTTTTTTTTTTTTTACGAATCATTTTTAACAGTAGATTTTAATGTATCAGATATCATAAAGCAGTAAAACTTGGTTAATCTTTTACCCTTTCTTACTCTGTATAGCCCAGAATTAAACCAACAGTAGGGCTGATTACCAAACACGGGCAGTTCAAAAAACATTTGCGGCGTATGAGCTTGTAGTTGACAAACGTCTATAATAGGACTTCCTGAAGGTCAGAGGAAACAGCTGAACACCTACTCTCTGACTGTGAAGAGATCTTTGAGGTCAGAAGGACAACTCTTGGACATTTGGTAAGAGGTAATTAATTACCTTCCCAAAGAGGAATTGATTGGAAGACTGCAGGCATTCATCAGGTGTTTGAATCAGGTGTATCAATAAAACAACTTATTGGGATGCACAAAAATATGAATAATTCGGAAGAAGTGCTTTATGACTTGGGCATGCCCCTGTAATATAAGATAAGACTCTGTATATTGAAAAAAATATGCAATATGGTCTTAAAAATCAAAATACACAACACCGGTTCAAACTGCTCAGCACTCACATGATGGAGTGTACCGAAGAGCCGTGTTGGATCTTGATCTTGTTTCTCTTAGTACGGATGTTGTCGCTGCTGTTGTACACATGTATACACCCGTCTTCAGTGCCGAGCCACATCGTGGGCTGGAGATGGTCGTATTCTTCTCCCCCTTCCTCCCCTCCAGCTCCACTATCTCCCTCTTCTTCCCCTCGTCCTGTAGTCTCCACACCCTCGTCCTCCGATGAGCTTGAAGAACTGCTGAAACGTAAGCAAATTATCACGTTAGAGTACAGGTATGTGCCAAGGTGTTTCTAAATAACTTCAAACATATTGCAATTAATTGGACTCATTCATGCTTCATTCAAATTTTTTAGATTGATTTGATACACAGTCCTGGTCAACCAAGGTCATACAAGACACAAAGCGCTTAAATTCTTGGCAGAAGAACCAAACAGGAGTATCTATTGTTGAGACACTAGTGAAGACCAAATCACATTGCAGTCAGCACATCCAACCACTAATCATTTAAGTAGCTGGAAAAACAAATATGAAATTCGTCCAAACTGCTTCTAACAAATTAGAAAGGAGGAGAATGTTATTTATGTATATCAAGGAAAAGGGATCAGCTGACTTCGCTTGGAAAATTTGAAGGCGTTATAAGATTTGAAACGTCCACAGTTCACACAACATAACTCTGATATTTTTTAGTATATGAGTCTTCAGAGAGTAGATAGATGTGAAATTAAAGCTAGCCAAACTCTAACATTTTTAAAGCAACCAAAACAAAAACACTTTGATTACCCTTACCTTTCCAGACTCATGTTGGGCTGTTCAGTATCCTCCACTGATATACTGATTTTGGAACTGTCATTTTTACGTTGTCTGGTTTTACGGCTGTTTCTGAAAAAAATAGATCTTTGTTGTTCAACTTTATTTTGAAGAGAACCATAAAAAAATATAACTACAAATGTAGCACATAAAAATATTAGTATTTTACAGTAAAATTGCCGTCATTTTTCTTCAGATGCAGGACATTTAAAAAAATTAAATAAGCCTGTATGAAATATCAAAATTAAATATGAAAAAACGCCTCATATACCTATAGAGTTAAATCAACCTCCTAAATATTAGCGATTTTTGGTTACTCTCTCTACTAACAACAGGTTTCAGACAGCGCTCAACAACTGAACTATTGTCAGTATTTCAGTACTGCCGAGAGCCAGATTAGCAACCCACTGTAGAATACCATACTATTCTTGAAGTTAAAAAGATGCCAATACTTAAGAAGGTTTTATTAAGCTTACTGTGAAGGGCAGGCAGGAATAGCAGCTATACAGAGTATTCTTGCATTGCAAACTCCGTTACAAGACGTAACTGTTGGTTCTGTCGGCGACAACGACAGGACACAAACCTACGACAGAGAACATGTTTATAACAACTGATATTTTATTGCAGCAATATTGTAATAGCATTATCCTACCTTCTCAAAAACATAGGCAACAACAACAACAACAAAGGTAATCTAAGTCAAGTTCTTGAACCAGGGATGGGAGAAAAGATCTAATAGCAAGGAGTTGCCATTGCATACACAATAAGGTATGGTTGATTGGGCAGATTTTGAAAGTACGGGTAGAATTTAAAAGAAGGTTCTACTGTACCTGGCCTACGTAGCCATCACTGTTGCACACCCAGACATCCCGAGAGCCCAGCAAGGGAGCAGCGCAGGTGAACTGCAGCCCGGCTCTGGTCTTGCGGATCGGCACAGAAGCGACAAACTCAGGACAAAGTCTTTTGTCTGCTGTCACTGCTGGAAAGGAACCATACATTCACTGGACGTTCTAAATTATTCTAGCGAAAATAAACAGTCAATATAGTTTTAAACTTATCCAACTGAATTTAGGTCCCCAGCCAGACTTAAAGTCTATGATGGTTTGACTATTCCATTCCACATTCAACCACCACTGGGCCATATGACATGCGATTGAAATGGCAACCTCAGCCAGTGTTTTCATTCTCGACTTTCATTTCAGACTATGTAAGGGATTCGATTAAAATAGGATAAAAAGGGAATATTGGCTCTGATGCTGTTTTTCTTTGTTATACTGCTTTCCCAATAAAAACCAATCCCAATTGATAAATTTATTCTAGTGCAGTGTTATAGCAAGGTTAAAGAGCTATATAAACATTATACACCAAAAAGTTCACTCGAAATAGAACGAGGAAATACATGCGGGATAAATTATATTTTTCATTGTATTGAGTGGCATTTGCTCGACCTGATAAGTGGAATTTTCGTTTTTGTCATGTGGATACAATGATCTCCTATCAACCCATGCAAAAGACATCAGGACCCTCAAAAATAGCTCTTTCACTATTTACTTTATTCTTGTGCCTTGAACTAAAAATCTAAATCCAAATCAGTACTTGAATAAGCTTCTTATTGTGTGCTACTAGTGAAGTTCTATTTCTCTCTAGTTTTTCCTACTATGATAGTTGATTATATTCTAAAAGCTGGAAAACAACTTTAACGTGGGAAGTAAATATTTCCTTCGGAACTGTATCCATAGTCCAAGATAATATCAAGCAAGAGTAAAAGTAGAACATAATTGGTGGTTTTCACATAACTTACCGAGCCTTTGTTTCGCTTCGTTGAATGTTTCCTCCCAACTGCTCCTCTTGTCGGGTTTGGAAAAGATCACGGAGATTGGATTGTTGACTCCATTCCTGAAAATAATCGTAAAACTTCCTGAACTATTTTGAATTCAATATCACGTTAATCTGTTAAATATTATTTAAACTAATTATTTAAACACTTTGTAATGGACAGGTTTACAGCAGGCTTACTTTACTGACAAAATTTGATGAAAATGCACAGATAAATACATAAACACATAATTTTCAGAGCTACTAGCTCCATCAGTAGTCTTTGTTCTTGTAGGGTGTTCTGGCTGTGGAAGGAGGAAGAAGAATATGATGTCTAGTCTATGGTTTTTTTTTTCAATACCACCAAGACACAACCGAATCATCATACTATAACAATTAGCCCTATTCTGAAGGTTCATGTTGGGGGGTTCTCTGTATTCGGTTATCCATTGGTGGGAAAGTTCCCATCTTCTCAATTCTAAGGAGTTGCAAGTTTGATGAAGGGCTTTAATGAACCTAAACCCCAACTCTCACTTGTTAGCTGCGGAGAGCTACCTTCTGCCACTGGGTGTTGGTCCACCTACAGAACCAAGTGAGGGGGGCCCTAGACTAAGGTGTAATGTGATCCGTGCCAAGAGTCTTGTGGCACTGGGGGCCTAATGTTCAGTGTCTTAACGGAGCCTTCTGGGAACCAGGGGGAACCCAGTTGTATGCACCCCTTACCTCTCAACTCGGGTCACTGGGGAGGTAAACGTAGATACCCGGTATTCGTGAGAACAATGTAGACGATCTGACCCAAATGGAGGAGGAAGGTCTACTGAAATCTGATGATGACGACAAGCTCGCAGAAACTGGAAAGGAACGAAAAACGACTTTCCAGGGGCGAGTTGCAAAGACAGAGGATAGCGGATGCTTTAGCCAAAGGCGAAAAGGTGCTATCCAGAAGTGAGAGAAGACTGGTGTGGGCTGCCAAGCACCCTAACTCTGCTCCCTGCAAAGCCAGTTCCTCCAGGAACCAGGATGCTGGGAAAAAATCAGGGCAAGGGTAGTACCCCCAAAGCTGACTCTAATGAAGCCTCCAGGAAGAAAGGTGGAGGCTCTGCTAACCCAGCCACAAAGGATTGGCTGGTCAAGCAAGTACAGGAGTTGAGTCCTTTCAGGGAAAACTCGCTACGGCTTGCCCCAGCCAGAGACCTTGTGAAAGCTGTGAAGGTATATTTATGTGCCCAGCCCTACAAGGTCTGCGTATGGGATCCCTTGGTCTATTGATGGGAGATCAAAGGGAAGAACAGGTTACCATAGTCAAAAGGCTCTCATGGTTCACCAAGGACCTGGGATTTGACGGTGAATGAGGGTGCACAATAAGCTGTTCTAGCTGCGATGCAATCCCATGGTGACTTGTAAGCCTGGCCCTCTGTTAAAAAAAAGAGCTTTAATGACTTAATTAGGAAAGCAGCTGTTTAAAATCTTTGTTGTGGGTGGCAGCATGATTAAAACTATGGGTTTGTCTTTGAACTGATTTTTCACATCTTGCCCTAGTCTATTCATCCTTTTACATATGCTCTTGGTAGTTATAAGGCCTACATATTAAGTGGGGCTCATTTTGTATTGGCAAATCTCATTATCGGTATGTTGTTATTGATTTTGTATGTTTTGTTTGTCATTGAGCAGTTAAATGTAATGAAAGGAATATGAATTTCACGAGCATTAAATTTGTCTTTTTCACGGAGATAGGGGTTTGGAGGAGATTTTTACTGTTTGGGGATCTGAATTTTTTTTTCTTTTACCGGAATCTTCTTAAAGTTATTAGTGGGTGTTTCAAGAATTACACCCAATGTTTCAAGAATTAGTTAGTGGTGATTTGATGAGATCTTTTGTGTGAGTGAAGGCTTGAAGAATGTTGTAACCTTCTTTCAAAATATTTTAGAAGTGCCAGTGGACACTAAAGTTAAAAACAGCTCTGGTATAAAATCACACAAATAAAAATTAAGTTTTAAGTTAGTTGCTAACATCACTTACGGTGTATTGAGCATGTTGAGTTCCAGACAGGATAGTTGTGAGTCGCTGTTCTGTCGCTCGGCCAGCTGTTTGCTGAGTGCGGAGTGCATGTCTCGGACGTCAGACTCCAGCTGGGAGTGGGGACAGTGGAGTTGCGATACCAAGTCACACATCTGTGTCAGGGCTGTCACGTCATCACGCAGATGCTCCATGTCACGCAGCATCCGGCGCAGGTTCTCATCCTTCTCTGTAAACATTTATTGTTAATTGTTCAAATTTCAGATTCAAGATGAGTTTGAGATTACAAAAATATGGTACAGAGGACAATTTGAACACCAAGAGAAGAGTAAAAAAGTTTGAATTTGATTTTAGCAATAGGTTTAGCAAAATGGAAGTCACATTTGCAATTGCTTAGTCATACTGAAAAACATGCATGTTTTTTGTTATACACAGTAGAATCCCGTCCAACCGAAATAAAGGGGGAAGAGCCGTTTTGGATAACCAATTTTTCAGTTAACCCACATGCCAAAATTATCATATGCTAAAAATAACCATATAGTGGTTTAAATTACCTTGTTACTGTCAAAACGATCCTTTGTAGTTAGTAGACTACAGCTGTTTCGTGCTACGAATGGAGCACATCATCAGGTCAGAAGAATGTCAAGTAGTCTTCATATTCCTCGCAGTGGAGTTCGTCAAAAGTTTAATAATAAATAGAGAACAAAACACATAACACACGGAAACACGAAACATTTAATATTGGTCGACCAGACGACGGTAACAACACACGTGATACGGCGCCGGTTGAGGGTGAGTCGCGACCTGGAACTTCAACCAGGACGTGATTGAGCCATGCGAACGAGCTCATCTTGAAAATTAAGAAGTTAAATGGGGCAAAGCCTGCGGGTACAGCTAGTCCAATATATACCAAATCACTATTTCCTTTTGTTGTAAACAAAACATTTTTACTTCTACACTATTTTACAGAGGAAGTTGGTTATTCGCTCGTTGCACAACATTCACCTGTGTGATGTAATACCGCTCTTACTACACTTATAATGTAAATAGCTATTAAACTAAACAATTGAAGTTACTAAAGCATTTTACATTACTTATATTTGAGCCGTGTATTATTTTTTAAGGGATCGTTTCGGTTAACCTGGGTTTCGGTTCACCCGAATTCGGTTAAACGGGGTTCTACTGTACTCTAGTTGTCATACATCAGTGTTGAAAAAATGTGAGTCATCCAAAATTATATCCAAATCATCCATGTTATTTCGACCACAGATACATAAAGTATGGTAGGTTTAGGTAATGAGAGAAAAACTTTAATTCTACAAGTTTTTGAACTAAGAAAATTTTAACTAAAAACCTTCCACGCCATGGAAAGTAATTAAAGTTAATGTTGGCTAACTTACACTAGATCATTAGTACACGGTAAACCATCACTAAATATCTGGCATTCAATAATCCAACATTTTATTTTAGGGATTTTTTCTTCTTTTAGTTTGAAAATCTACAGGTTGTGTTTGGCAGAATTTTGGTCTGCTGAGCGTCCTCAGGAAAATAACCGGTTATCGATTATTTACTAGCATGTGCCTAAGGAATTTGTTGAGCCTGCGAATTATGGTATGATACAGAACTGATACCACCATAACTTTTTAACAATCAGTGATTTGTCAATACTAATATTAAAATTATCTTACCTTTCACGATTTCTAGATCCTCCAAAGGTATCCTTGTAAGCATTTTATATTTATTGGCTTCCAATGTGCTGGCTATGGTTCCAGGACAGTTCCTGCAACAAAAAAACACATTATATGCTAATGCAACCATTCTAAGCTGGATTGGACTATTTAAACTGTTTATTTCTATCATTTAAATTTATTTATGTAACATAACATAATTTTCTTTAAAATAATAGTATCAAATGTTCGTATTTAATAGCAATACTAGATAGAAACCATTTTGAGAGTGGATAAAAAACAAAACAACATTTTAATTTTGTGTAGCTTAAGGAATTGTGCAATAAGAATTGATGATCTTGTCTTTCCCTAGATCATCAGGAAGACACTTCAGGCTCTAGTGATGAAACATACTATTTAACATGCTACAATTCCAAGAAATTGTATACCTAATATTAATAAACTTCCAACTTACATGGAAGGTTTCCGTATCGTCCCGGACCGCCGCTTGATGCTGGTGATGATGAGGAGGTCGGAGAACAAGAAGAGTGCTCGTTCCTTACGACCCCGCTCGGAGGTGATGGACACCAGGTCATGTCGTAGGAAGCTGCGGTCAGCTCTCTCAGGATGTAGGCTGCCTGCGCCTTCAATCAGCTGTTCTAGCTGTTCCAGCTCTAGGCTCTCACGTTCGGTACAGTTTATGCGGACTGCTAGAGCGTGTACCTGGTGAATGTGACATTGGTTATTGTGAGAAAATTTTAGAAAGTCGGTGTGGTATATATATTTTTTTTTTCATAGATGAAACATGTTTGTAAACATACCTCTCTCTGCGCTTCACACAGCGGACCTCGGTCAGGATGGCTTGGCTCTGTGTGTTTCAGAAGAGTCTGAAAAGAATCAAACATTAGTGCAATGTTTAGAGGTTATCCTGAAAACTTTTCTACAATTTATAGAGGTCCTTAAGGGAGCGAGCTAACTTAGTGGTAGAGCTTGAGGCTCAGAGCCTGAGGTCCTTAGTTCAAATTCCACCAATCACCAATGGATTTTATCTATGTGATAATACCAAAACCCTCTAGGACCAGCCTGAAGTTATGTGTCAAAGAATTAACAGTTCCAGGCTAGAACCTAGCGTCCTTGGATGTGAAGGTTGACATTAAAAATTGTTCTTTAAGCATAGTGTTTATAAATGACAGATAGAGAACAATTTGTATCTACACAGGACAAGGATGATTGGCTAATACAACAAAACTGCCCTCACAACTATCTATGTGAATTTAACTCAACAAAATCCAGCTGTATGCTACCTGAACCTGAAATGTGCTGCAACCAGGAAGTCATGGCTAGAAATTAGAATTACTACACTTGTGCTTTTAGTTGACCAGTTGTTAGCAGTAGATTGGGTATGTCCGTTCAATGGTCAACCCGAAGGCATTGCCTCTTCAGCCAGGAGACACAGCCTGCTAGATTAATGGTCTAAATCCCGTCTTGATCAGGTCTGGTGTGCAGCTCTCGACAAACTTGCCTGTCTCTAGCAGAGATTCATGGGAAAACCCGTCTAAAAAAGGTGCATGGGCAGTGGTGGTTCAATTTCAGAAGGAGATTCCCCCTTCTACCCAGAAAAATGTATAGCCTTTAAAAGATAATGCCAAAAAAGGTTTACCCTGATAATTTGGGTGGATCAAGCTCCCCTCCCCAACCCCACTGGGACCGCCACAAATTTCTTGTAATGTGCACCTCAAATCAAGCATTTTCCAGCTTTTGAGCTTACCCTTGTGTGTGCCCACTAAAAACTTGTTTTATAGTTTGGATTTTTGTGGCTGTAAGCTATGGGAAAATCATTGAAAATATGCATGGATAAATGTTTTGCTACTGATAAATGATCCAGGCTAAATAATCAGGTGATCTTAATTAGTAGAGAAGCAAGGCTATAATGTCATAAGTTCAACGTTCGTCCTTCACACATCTTTCACTTAAGCTTCACATACTGATGTTTCATTGTCTTGATAAATAAATAAAAATCATTATACATAATATGTGAAGGCGTTTTCTACGAAACACTACTCCTCCGTTAATAATGGACAGATTTTTACAAACGATGTGTCAAAATTAAGTATTTTTTGTGTAGACGCCCCCTTTCAACAATTCCTGTCATAAAAGTCCTCGGACTTCGCCCCGCAGGCCATCAAAATCCCAATGTATTTCTTATGAAGAAAATATTTTGTTTACTTAAAAAGACGAATAATTTTTATTAATTACAGCTGTTCATAGTAAACACATGATACACACAAGAGCATTCGTTTTCAGAGTGAGTTCGTTTTCAGTTTCTATAACTGGAGTGGAGTGATTTATTGCATTATCTTTGAGTTGACTCTTTTAAGTCATCGGAAATTATGACTGTTATTAGTTTTGAAATAACGCCTGTAATACTTTGCAGTTGCTCAAATTCGAGCAACATGTGCACTAATCTATCTATATTACCTGTATGAGCAGCTCATATCGGGGTATCCTCTGAACCGGCATTATTAACAGAGAGTCCAGAGCCAGTTTCCCCTTATGTTCTCTAGCCATCGCCTGGAAAATGAAAAACCAAACAATTTATCAAATAGCCTAAGGGAGTAAATTGTTTGTTAAGCTATTAGTACTTTACTGGGCTATAGAATGATTGATGTAGACATTTTCCAAAGAATCTATTAAACCATAATCTGTTACTGTTGACTTTTGAATCTGTGTATTTATTTAAGCTTTTAACAATTCTGTTGTTCATCTAAAACACTATGATTTTGTGTTAGAACTAAAAGAGGTAAAGTGTCACAGTGCAGCAAAGCTCAAGCCACTTTGAGAAAGCTATGATTTTTGTAGCTTATACATAAATAGATTTTAAAATACATTGTGCCAGTATGAATTATATGGGTTTAAGAATTGAGCAGTAATGATTATACTGTATTGCATGGTGGCTTCGCTTAAGGTTGTGTGTTAAATGGTGATTCTAGGTATTTATCTATGGATCCAATTTCAAAATTTGACATGGTATTAGCAATTAGACAATATCTGTTGCCTACATACAAACCAAAATCTTTGATTAAAACTTATGGAATCCTTATATATAATACGTGAAGGCGATTTCTAAAAAACACTACTCCTCCGTTAATAATTGACGGATTTTTACAAAAGAGGTGTCAAAATTAAGTATTTTTTGTGTAGACTCCCCCTTTCACAAATTCCTGTAATAAAAGTCTTCGGGCTTTGCCCCACAGGCCATCAAAATCCCAATATATTTCTTATGAAGAAAAGATTTTGTTTACTTAAACAGACGAATAATTTGTATTAATTACAGCTGTTCATAGTAAACACATGATACACACAAGAGTGTTCGTTTTCAGAGTGAGTTCGTTTTCAGTTTCGATAGATGGAGTGGAGTGATTGATTACGTTATCTTTGGGATGACTCTTAAGTCAACAGAAATTGTGACTGTTATTCGTAAAAAAAAACGCCTTTATTACTTTGCAATTGCTCGAATTCGAGCAACAGGTGCACTAGTAAATTAAATTGTAAGAAAACTATCAAAACCCCACACAGATGAAGAAAATCATTTCCAGCCAAAACTCCAGGCTTTAAAATCATTCAAACAGTCGTCTTTTTCTCATAAAGCAGTTGTTCGCACTTCCCAATCGTTGAGTTTGAAAACAAACATTTTGGAACAAGAGTGGGCCAATGGCAAACATTTACACCTGCAGCTGACGAGACGAAACCGAAACTAACCTCCAAAAACCTGGCGAATGCTGGCTTGGCTTGGCATGTTGTTTTGATCGCTTCCTTGGCTGACTTCCAATTGTTGATGAACGCTGTGTAGGTATCGATCACCGACTGCTTGGTAAACTACAACAAGATCACTATAAATACACAGTCTGGAGAAGAACAGAGTTTACGAAAGCTGGGCACTACTCAGTTGAGAGATGAATTTTATTCAAGTTGTTCCCTGATTTGTGTACACTATCGGTTTTTGTAGTTTGATTTTATAATGTTAATAGAGAGCAAGATTATTGATTGTAAAATACAGTAAATCTAAAAAAAGAACAGAATTTCCATAGTCTTGACAGGCATTTATCACAAGTTTGTAAATAATTTAAAAATTTACAGTAGGCTAAACCAAATTTTTTTTTTTATTCACAACAATAATCAAGATTTTTTCTGTCAAAGATGTTATTTTGTTCACAAGGAGTATCCAAATTGTTCTATAATACTGCCGTCTTCTCACAAATTGCCCATAGGGAATAAGTTATTACTGTGGGTTTCATGATAAGACTATTCAGGGAACGACTCATTTTTTATTTTTTTATGTCTTCAGAGGCCAAAAACCCCATCTGTTCTAAATTAATAAATATGTGGATCTGTAGCAAGATAGCTTGAGTAAAAAAGTGTTATATTTTTCATCCCTGATCTATCAACTTAAATAGCAATTTGTGTTTGGTATGTTTCCAACTTGTACAGTGCATGTAGAGTGCATTTTCATGTTGACTATTAATTATGTGTTACACTTTCAAACAGTTGTAACCAAATACCGCTATTCATTTTTAATTTGTAAAACTCCTTGGTATTCAACCAAAGAGTGATACACTGTACAATTTACAATGAGAGAAAATCATATTTTGCGCACTCAAACGTGCGCACAAGAAACACATCAAAACAAATTTAAGACTTCATGATAAGATGAGAAATCTACTTTACCCTCAAACCGAGAGGTGAATCATGAGTGACTTTAAGTATCCATCAATCAATCTTTAGTGATTTACATCCTAAAAGCTCAACTTCAACTCACTGTTTCCAGGAAGATATCTCCGACTCTTTGTTTGACGTCCCAGTGCAGCATCAGCCGAACCCTCAGTGCTTCCAGGAACTCTTCATGGTGGGCGAGAATTGCAGGAACCTGTGTAGTATCATACTTTGAAATGAAGTTGTAACTCAATAATCCGACATTGGAACCAGGTGTTTGTCCAGGTCGTACAACTTTAATTTAAGCCGAGAAAATTCAGCTTTATGAAGCCTTATTTTGTACTCTTTGAGTACGGTACTTGGCGTTCAAATTAATCAGTTAGCATTAATCAACAAAAATCAATGTTTATTGAATACAAAACCATTGATTTACGTACAGCTTTGTCTCCAAAGACTGAATAACATTAAATATAACCAATATTCTTAATTCAAGTAGATACAACTGTACACATGTTTAATTGTTATAAATTAGGCACCTTACTTTATTTCAAAAGGCAAACTAACAAACCAAGTACAGTAATATACTTAGTCTAGGTAAAAATCCCTACCGGTACTATTCAGTGAAATGACTCCGGAATTAGACTATACACCACAACTGGACCACCACACAACACCAAAGTATTCCACAAACATCGACCAAGTAACAAACTTATTTTTAAATAAAAAACATTTTAATTTCCTAACAAAGTTTTAAATTCATTCAAAACCTAAACCGACAAATAAATATAAATGAAACAATAAATTCAAGTCCATTACTTCTTACTTGATAGAAGATTTCGTCTACCAGAGCCGCATCAACAAGTCCTGCGTTTTCTGGACTTTTCAGTGGCTGAAGATATTTCTGAAACAAAATAGAAATGGCATGAATAAAAAGGAGACGATTGATATTTGGGAATACATAATAGGGGGGCCTCTATTAAAAATATGCAATTATGAGAGCTTGCCCCGTGGTAGAAAACTCGACCAAAAGTATGTATTGTGCAAACTTCTCTATTTTTACCCCACGTTGTAAATAATAAAAAATGTGATTGGAATTTCTTCCATTAGTTTAGATTTTCTGTTTATATTTTGTTGTTATTTTGTCACCGGCATGGCAACCCATAAGGCCCATGTTAATTTTTTTATTAAAAATTCATTTTTTGTGCTCATTTTCGAGCTTATTTTAATTTATAAAGGGATTCTGCACCTACCTACAGGAAAATATCATTGGTACCAACCGCGTGTAATTTGGTGTTGGTCCAGTAGGTTAAGCCTAGCTGTCATAAGTTTTTCCAGTTTTTTAGTATGTACGATGGGAACTGTTTTTGGGAGTCACAGCTAATAATAGTTTTAAATTAGTAAAAATTTGTGTTTTACATATAATAGTTGTTTTACCTAAATTCAGAATCAAGTTTGTTGAGATTTGGTTAATGTATTTACAGTAAACTCAGGATAATAGCATTTATGCTTTTTTCCTAATTTGAAGAGAAATGAATACGCAATGTTCCCAAGGGTTGGATCCAGCTCTCATCTTATCTACAATAAAAAAAATATGTGGTATAATTTTGTTACAATTATAAGTTTATCTCCACAGTATGATGAAAATAGTTGTTGTCACACGAAGCGAAAGTGTCTTTTTGGTACTTAATCTTAAAACACTATTGTGTACAAAAAAAGCCACTTTCGCTCCTAGTGATGAAAACTACTATATTGAAATCATTCAGTAATAATTTTGTTTCCCATATTTTACTTTAAACCAATAAATAAGGTCTCAGTAAAAAATTTTTCCAGGGAAGGTTGAAAATTTGCTGAATCGCATATTTTACAGTATTTACTTAATCCCACTTATGTTCTCAACAATGTGTATAAAGCGGGACATCATTTTATCAAACTTACTCCTTTAGTTGCGATAACTAATTTAACTTTGTAAACAAACTTAAAAGTTATTGGAGAACTTACCGTGACTAGAGTTTTCAATGACTCGACATACGAACCCTCCGTTTCATACAGTTCAAATACCACATGAGTCCGAGTATCCTGAAACAAAAAAAAAAATTAATTTTCATTCTTGATTCTGATGAGAATTATTTTTACAAGAAATCGTAAGTCGATATGTTTTACTGTGGTTACGTGACAATTTTCCAACAACCATTAAAGAAGAAATTAATGTCTGTAGCCATTTAAAACTAACATTTTAATTATATTTCACTTTTCCTCAAGGAAATATCCTCAAATGTAATCACATTGTTATATTGGTAAGCAAGGATATGGTTATATAATACTTAATGGACATCATTAACAGATAGATTGGGTTTTGGTTCATGGAAATAGCATACAATAACAATGGTCGGTTACACTATGTATTGTATAATACCATTCAGATAGTTGACAAAAGTATTGAAGGTCCAATTATTATTAAATATGTTTAAAAATTTGTGAACCAAACTATAACAGGATTACATATACAGGGTGTTTTTTTTTTTAAACTTGCATCTTTATTTTTGTAAAAACCGCAATAGATATGCAGTTTGCGGGAATCATCTATTGACGTAGGGGTCCAATCTTTTTTAATTCAACGTTACATTCACATTCCCCCCCTTTCCCCCCCTGCCCCCAACTTATTTTTTTAATAGCAAGGTACCCCTTGTGGCATATCAAATGAAAGAGCATGAAAAAAGAAAATGTTTGATGAAAAAAAATTCAAAATCGGTTCATAAATTTGTAAGATATTCCCCCCTCCCACCCGGAACTTATTTTTTTTTATTGCAAAGTACCCCTTGTGACATATCAAATGAAAGAGCATGACAAAAGAAAATGTTTGGTGAAAAAAAAATTGAAAATCGGCTCATGAATTTGTGATACAATCCCCCCTTTCCCCTCCTTGGAACTTAATTTTATTTTAATAGCAAGGTGCCCCTTGTGGCATATCAAATGAAAAATAAATTTCACCAAACATTTTCTTTTTTCATGCTCTTTTATTTGATATGTCACAAGGGGTACCTTGCTATTAAAAAAATTAAGTTCCGGGGAGATGGGGGAGGGATATCTTACAAATTTATGAACCGATTTTAAATTTTTTCATCAAACATTTTATTTTTTCATGCTCTTTCATTTGATATGTTGCAAGGGGTATCTTGCTATAAAAAAAATAAGTTGGGGGCAGGGGGGAAAGGGGGGGAAGGGAATGTAATGTTGAATTCAAAAAGATTGGGCCCCCTACGTCAATAGATGATTCCCGCAAACTGCATATTTCTATCAATTGTGGTTTTTACATAAATAAAGATGCAAGTTTAAAAAAAAACACCCTGTATAAATGTTTCAAAGAAGCTGTCAAATGATATTTAAGGAACAACTTTTAATTTAATATGTACTAAAAGTAAAAATATTTATAAAAACATTCCAGTAAAAATGGTAAAAGTAATAAGGTGAAATAGGCTAAGAACAAAATAGAAAAGAATAATAGAAAATGATCTCAGGAGCTAAGTGATGAAGGTGTTTTTGTCTCCAATTGTATTGACTTGTTTTTTAGCAATCGATTAAAGATGCTGTCCAACAACAGGTTGATTTTAGACCTATGTAATAAACAGGTTTAGGTTTAGAAACTTTACTTTGAAAAACGTGCCTAAGTGTAAATAAACAAAATTTAAAAATGTATGGTATCTAGATTTCTTGACATTCTATTTTGGGAAATCAAAAATTGGTACTGACACTAGTTATTTTTAAATTTAAATTCTGTGAACAAATTTTCCTCCACCTGACCTGAGTTGGTAAAAAGGAAATTAATTGAACCCTGCAAACAACCAGGCATATAACGAACATTTTTTGCACTCAGAACCCCTTTGAAGATACCCGTGGTTATTAAGGTAATAGAATCAACTATATAAATTTCCAGAATCAATAATACCAATACTGTAATCCACTTTTAAAAAATATATTTGTTTTACTTCAACCAAATAAAAATAAAGGATATTTAACTCCCAAATTTAAAAAAAAAACTTTTTTAAGCAACAGAACTTTTTTTGCAGATCAACCTACACTGGAATCCTGATCTGGCGTGGATTGAATCAATCGCTTCATCGCCATTTTATAGATATAATTTTACACAAACTTCTTTATTATGAAGTGAATATAACAAAATGACCTTAATAAATCAAAAAGTAAGCCAGATTGTTCCCAGTGTCTGTGCTAACACATGGTTACCAAATTACTAATGTCTCAATGATCAACAAAAGCTTTGCAGTTAAGAGCAGATTGTAAAATTATACGATTCGGGGGTCACAAACGGAAAACTCCATTTTTACCCCATAAAACCCCCGATAAAACTCCTGTCCCCACAGTCAGATCATGTTCGTTCCTGAACTCTTTCGAATAAACGTAGGTTTACACGTGTAGCAAACCTCATCAAAATCGAATAGTATCTTCAGTAATCTTCTTCTATATTTATAAAAGATGAAGTTTGTATACATATATATATTTGAGCGTTATAGACTCCGAAATCACTCGACAGATTGCAATGAAACTTTCAGGCATTATTAAGCTTTATTGAAGGATGGTTTGTGTGAAGTTTGGTGCAGATCCGTCAAAAGGGCTCCACCCCAGTGGCTCTGGAGTTTCCCATGTTAACCTTATGAATACTCATATTTAAATGGAATTAAAGAATCTTAACAGCTGTTTCAACTAAACAATTTGATTCTGTGATGTTCAATAGCATTAAAAAGTTATAAGGTTTACCAACAGGGTGCAGCAATTGTTTAAATTGATGACAACAGCTAATTTGAACCAAGTAGCAACAAAAAGCTGTGAGAACTGTCAAAGTAGGATTTTTTACAGAGTTGTGTTTATGTTTTTAATTTAATAAATAATTTGTGATATTGTGGGAATAAGGTGTTTTATTATTTTAGTAGTGAGTTCATTAACTTATTGACTTTCTTTTTTCCTATTTGTTAACAAAAATTTATTGTGTCCACAAAAATAATGTTTGGGAAACGAAGTAGCCAGTTAATACTTTTAGTGGATCAATAAAAGTTTATCTACATACAGCATAATGGAACATAATTATTCTTTTAAACGTTCCCTTCCCCGTTGCGAAGCACGGGTGACTGCAAGTAGCTTATTATATAGGAAATTTGCAAAAACTACCCAATACAACATTGCTCAACTCAAAATTATAGACCGATAGCTTAATATCTAGTTTACAAGTTAGACATGTAATTGATCTAAATTAAAACAGATTGTCTGGTCTTGGGTGAAGCTGAAGCTGAGGCTGGATCGAGGTCATATTGTGGTTCCCCGGAGACGAGGCAGGTACAACACGTGGATCTACTCAGGATATTGGAAATAATAGAGGACGGAGGTCACACAATACTCTCCAATAATTACCGTTCGAACGAACATAATTTTCCTATTGGATAGTTTCAGATTTATGAAAATTAGTGAGAAATAATTCATTTGTGAACCCTTCGATGCTATTTCTTTAGATTGTTGCGTATCATATATTTAATTATAAACTCAGGTTATTGGAAAATAATAATGAAGAACGGAGGTCATACAGCATTACAGGGTGTCCAAATTACTGTTCAAACAAACATAATTTTTCTATTTGATTGTTTAGCTTTATGAAAATTAGTGAGACTTTATATAAGACTTTATGAAAATTCATTTGTGAACTCTTTGATGCTATGTTTTTAAGATTATTGCGTTTTGTGTATCTTGCTAATATTATAAATCTGAAAGTTTGTGAGTTTGTGTGTGTGTGTGTGTGTGTGTTGCTCAATCACGCATAAACTACTGGACGGATTGGGCTGAAATTTGGCATGATGATAGCTCACATTCCCGATTAACTTTAAAGCATATTCTTATCTCAAAAATCCTTTTGGGCTCCGCCCCAGTGGCTCTGTAGTTCCCCATGTTAACCTTATGATTTTTCATATTTAAAAGGAATTAATGAATCTTAAACGCTGTTTCAATTAAACAAGTTGGTTCTGTTCTATATGATGTTCAATAGCATCAAAGTTACAAGGATTACCAACAGGGTGCAGCACTATTATTTTTTTAAATTTATGACAACAGCTAATTTTCAACCAAAAGGTGAGTGAGCGTAGCGAACGAACTTCAACCTGGAGGCGAGTTAGCGTAGCGAACGAGCTAACCTGAAGGCAAGTGAGCGCAGCGAACGAGCTCCAACTTAAAGGTGAGTGAGCGTAGCGAACGAACTTCAACCAGGACGTGAATGAGCCTTGCGAATACTTATGAAGTTAAACGGGGCAAAGCCTGCGGGTACAGCTAGTTTCATATATATTGGAAAATAATGATGAAGAACAGATGTCATATAGGCCTACACGTGGAAGTCCAATAATTACTATTAAATTAAACAAACATTATTTTCTTATTAAATTGTTACAGATTTGTGAAAATTAGTGAGTAATAATTTATCTGTTAACCATTAGATGGGGAAATCTTTTATGACTTCTACATCAATGTATATCTTTTAGATTATTGCGTTTAAATTTCCCGAACAGGGAATAAGCTATTACCATAGGTCTCTTGGTAGACCTGGACCCCTTTCCAATTTACTTTCTTGTTTCGGTGTGCCAATAGGCCAAAAACAGCATCCCTTAAAAATAATATAATGCTTTAGCAAGGTTACCGAGCAAAAATGTTCATAATTTGCAAATCAGCATGATCAGACTATAAGTACGGGGTTGTATAGGGGTTTTATGAGGTAAAATTTGGGTTTTCCCATTGTTGACCCTAAAAATAACATGCAATTACTTCTATATCATGTTGTAGAGCTCAAAAAGCAAACAAATAGTGTAGTATATTGAAGCAATATTGTAAAATCAATGGTTACAAATAAAATTTATACACATTTTATATTACAGCTTCTAATGTCATTCTAATGGAAAATAAATACACTGATTTAGTTTGCTTGTTCGTGGATACATTTTGAACATATTTTGAAAATTCATGTATTTTATGTTAAGCTTTTGATATTAAGTTAAAAATCACATTACTTTCCCTGTGACGGCAAACCTAAG